TGTTATTACGCTGTATCCATAGAAACGGCCCACCCTGTAGTTCTGATTTCTCAGACTTTTCTGATTTAGTACTCAGGTCAGATGAAATCATTCTTTAAAGTTACAGTAATGGATTACACAACATTTGGGAATACATTAGATGAAAGTATGTTTTGAAAAGTGTTATAACTAAATTTAAGGACATAATTCCTCCTCTGTTATGCTCTTCAGTACTGTGCACCACACAGTACCCAAACCCTACTCCCACATAGGTTGATCATCTCGTTAATAGACTTACATCCTCACTGTGTACGACTCTGGATATGCTGACCCAAAAACAAAACCTCAAATCACAAGTACTTGACTCTCTTATATCTTAAACACACATTGTAAAGCAGCTGACTCATAAGCTTGAGAAGAAATGGTGTCTTAGTAATTTAGAAGATCTTCATTCAGCCTGGAAAAAGAGTTTGTTGCTGTACAAACAGCCCTCCGCACAGCTAGGGCATTTTCCTGCTCATCACGTATTGAAGAACAACCCTGAGTTTCTCTGCAGTACTGCTTTACAGACACACAGCTGCTCTTTCAAGAATTTTGGAAATTAAAAGGAAGGATAGGCCTATAATTAGCTAAGAGAGCTGGGAGGAGTGATGCACAGTTTAATTACTACCTCCTTAAAAGTTTGTAGCCCATCAGTGGCAGAGACTGATCATATTTAAGACTGAAGCATTAATTAATGGTAGTAATTATTTGGGCAGCTTTGAAGGAATTGAATCTAATAGACTTGATGGTTTGGAGGAAGTGATAGTTGACGTTAACTCTGGATCAGTCAGTGTCAGTCTTATGTAAGGCAGCTGGGCTTGGTTCTTCAGTCAGTGATGAACAGGAAGGTGTCTTAGCTTTTTTTTTATTTTTTATAATTGTTGGTTTATCATTATTTTATATTCTAGGCTAAATGATCTTCTAAATTAGTGAGACCCCCAAAGAGGGACCCCCTCTTGATCCTCTACCTAATCACATGAGCCAAGGCATGAAAACGGGTGTGGGTCACAATTAGGGCTGCCACGATTAGTCAACTAGTCACGATTACGTCGACTATCAAAATCGT